TTGGTGCAGTGTACAACATGACCCAGCTGTGCTTCTTGGAGGTGTTTACCAAATGACCCAAAGAGTGACTTCAGCATTGGAGGGTTAATTTAGATAGACAAAAGTGGTGGCGACACTTTTCCTTGTTCTGGATCCATTTCGGGAAGGTAACCATTTGAGCAGTAAAATCCATTTTCAGCCAGAACCATTGTGAAAAGCTGATTTTCTAATGAAAAATGTCTTAATTCAGAGAAAATTAGTTTATAAATAAGAATTCCAATGAATTAAAAAAGGGTATCTTGCATGTCAACTTTTTCAGCTACACGGCGCAAGCCATCAACGATACTACCTTGTGCCACACGGTCGACGAACCCATTATGTGACATATAGTAAGATGAGTTTGCAACATATGTATCGTGCATGCCCTTAATGTGCGATCTAAATACAAGAAGCAATATGTGTTCAGTTTTCGGCCAGTTATAATAAAACGGAAACTTTGAAAGTCATTTTAATTAAACTGACATTAAATGCAAAAGTTTATATGACTGTTGAGTATAAAAAGTGTTTGGGATGACTCGTAGTGAGTGACATATCGCCCTGTAATTATTTGTCAATTTTTTCCGCCACTAAGATTTTTGACAAACCGTTCAAAAATATCAAAGTGTGCATCGGAAATTTGGCCCAAATTTCTTTTGTAGAAATTTTCCCAGAACAAGTTTTGTTCCACAAGAGGCTTTCATTTCACCTTGTAAACAGAACTTGTCTGAGAATGTAAAATGAAGAACAACACAGAGGACGTAGGTTTTTATTTCAAGCGATGTGGAACCAGGAAAACTCCAAACAGGGAAAACGACTGTAATACATACACATGGCTAGGTCAGCACAGGTGCAAGATCGATCGATTGGGGCAAAGGTTGACTTGATTTTCATAATACCTCAGAAAGTCCATGTAGGCTTGTCTATCTACTATATGAAATTCCCTTCCATTATTAAGGCAAAGTATTACACACTGTCGTCTCAGCCTGACGCCTGGACTGAGCAGACAAACCGTCTCAACGGATAACTTGTCTCAACGGTCGACTTGTTCCTCCTTTTTACGCACAGATGGTCGAGTTGTCTTAATGGTCAATTGTCTCAACGGTCTAGTTGTCCGAAGTCAAGTTGCCAAACGGTCGAGTTTTCCAGACCAGCCAATTTGACCATTTTCCATGTCATCCATTAAGACGAAGACAAGGCCTACATGTCTTTGACATCGAGACAATTTGACTGTGTGAGAAATCTACATGTTTACCATTCAAATACATGGCCAGGTCAGCGTGGATGCAAGATATATTAACCCATTCAAAGCGTTTGGTATTGTGTGCGCTGTGCGACTTTGCAACTCTACTTGGACATACATGTAGTGCGGTATGGCATAGCTTTCACAGGGTGTCGGTCACTTTGCCCCATCCCCACTTCGCTCATTCCCATTTCGCCCCATCCCCACTTCGCTCACTCCCATTTCGCCCCATCCCCACTTCGCTCACTCCCATTTCGCCCCATCCCCACTTCGCTCACTCCCATTTCGCCCCATCCCCACTTCGCTCACTCCCATTTCCCCCATCCCCACTTCGCCCACTCCCATTTCGCCCCATCCCCACTTCGCTCACTCCCATTTCGCCTCATCCCCACTTCGCTCACTCCCATTTCGCCTCATCCCCCCTTCGCCCCATTCCCATTTCGCCCCATCCAGAAAAAACAAATTTAATAAACATAAGAAAGACAAATCCTGTTGTCTTTTCTGCTTTCACAAACACCTCAGAAGAACATTTTCTCATTATTATGAGAATGATGTGTACCTAACTGTGTATCGCTTTGACATAAACTTAAAAAGGATAAAAAATAAAGCCAATGCTAGTCCAACTATGTTTTAGTTCACCATGAACAACAAAGTCGACATTAATTTAATGAATGCCGTAGAGTTTCCTGTTTACATGTATAACTCCTCGTCGTTTTTTGGAACTCCTCTCTCGACCATTTTTTTGAAGAGGCTTGTAACACACTCTAGCATGGATTGGGCAAAGTTAGACTTGAATCAAGTCAGACTTAAATGTACATTGCTCTTTGTTTAGTCAGCCATCTCTTCCGCTGGTATGCACCACACGGTCGTCAGGCTCTGCCTGGCACCTCACATAACCCTTATAAGGCGCCCTCGTTATAGGCTTTATTGTACAACATGTGTCATATGTCAACTGTCAGTAAGTCCAACTTGACTGATAAGCTTATCGGACCCCCGTCAGTGATGTGTAGTTATTCATTATTGCATATGAATGACATGATCTTGCATAATGTGTACGGAATTTCCACCAATCAATGTAGTCAGACTTGCAGACTCGTTCATTATAATGCAGGTACAGTAGAACAACGTAAAAACAAGTCCGGCAATGTGATTGGCTACTACCACTTTTGGTAGATGAGCCCATTCAAATGGTTGGCAGATTCGTCAAGTTGGGATAACTGAACTCGTAGTACATGTAAGAAATGGACACAAGAGGGCACGAAGCAAGTAACGGCTTACAGTTTCGTTCAATGTGTATCCACCAAAGCAGAAATGAAGAGGTCACGGAGATTCCGACTTGAGTCAAGTCTAGGGCAAAGTGGAAATAGGTTGAAGTGGGAATGGGGCGGTGTGGGGATTGGGCAAAGTGGTTAGGGTTGACATGAAAATGGGGCGAAGTGACTGTAAAGCCTGTCACATTGCTACAGGATGGTACTGCAGAGCGCCATCATCCCCTCTCTAGCACTGCCCTGCTTGTCGGTCCGACATCTGCCCAATTTCCAGATGTTATATGTAGTTTGGTATTTATCTCGGACCAAATACCAGGTGTGTGGGAATTCAGCTTTTTAGCTTTTTTTTACACAGACCAGCTCTTTTGTCCCATTTTGGGCACCCCGGCTTTGCGTATAAACACATGGTGCTCGAAAAGGGGTTCCCCGACAGCAAGTGGTTAAATATCCTGACAGTGCACAAAGTTTCAAAAGCATCTAGGCCTAGTATGAAGCCAGTAAACAGTTCAAATTTGACGTATTTCATACGTCTCAACAGACGACTTGGCTGAGTGGACGACTTAATCCAATGGACATCTTTTTTAATGGTTGAATGGTTTTGAGTTGTCTCAACGGTCTAGTGTCAGTGGTCAAGTTGGCCCAAGTCAAGTTGGCAAATGGTGGAGTTGTCTGGACCCTTTGACTAAGATGAGCCCCGCATTTCTTGTGCTGCTTCATTCACCCCAATGTTCCATTTCATGAAGAGTTGCTTAGCTGTTCTTTATTTTAATTACACATTAAATTTCTTGGATGAGGATGATAACTGCTTTTACAACAGCTGTTCTTTTATAATATCACTGCAGTCATCCATGCTAGAAATCTGTTTTACTGCACAGTCTTTTGGGGGAGTCTGGTGAGCAAAGTTTTGTGCATAAAAATAATCCATGCACACAATGCATGCACTGTAGCCCATTTTGGTCTACAACACGCTTTAGGCTGGGTCCTGCCCTTTGATTTTGGATTTTCTTAATAAGTTACCATGGTTATGCAGAAAGTGGCAGGAAAAGCTGTACACAGACGAACATGAACATATATGGTTTCAGTAGCGTCGGCTACAGATGTTACTCTGTCTGGCAGGGCGTAATTGATGAAACATGAAAAATACAGAAACTTATGGCACTCTTTTTATAGCAGAAATCACTGCGCATTTTACGTTCAGCATGAGGTTTTATGCTGCATGTTTGACAAAATTTTCAAGTCGGGAAGTGTATAAACGCCAATTGATACACATGTTATCTGAATCCCTGAACAATATTCAGTTCCACTGCATGATTGTCTGTAGGTTTCGTTATTGTTAGACATATCTGTGCACATGGATTGAGCCTTTGTCATACCACAGTAAGATGCAACTTGTTCTGGTAGCATTCTCATATTAAGGGCATGTATAGATAAATCTGAGGAGAGGCCATTCCTGCATGGCCTTGGCACTCGTACAATGTTCTTAAATTGAGTGTGAGTGCACACTTTGGAAAGTCACAACACCCTTTGGTCCAAACACGATCGTATCACCTGCGTGTGACGTTGTGTACAGGCTTGGCTCACAGTAATGGCTTCTAATTCTTGTGACTTGCTTTTGCTGTAGATATATTGCACTCTTTTCTGTAGAGGTGACATGGGCAATATGCTATGTGCATCACATGAAAATGGTTCCTACATGTATGGCATATGTGTACATGTATAGTTGAGGTGAAGAGTAACCATTCAACACA